ACCTTGATTAGTGATTTGGGCTCAATAGGCCCAATTTGTCCAAGCCCACATATGGGCTGGACCCAACAATATCTGCATGAGAATATTACTTGGCTTCCTAAAAATGTTTGGTAAAGCCCTAATACATTCCATTCTTTCAATCCAAAAGAAAGAAACTCACTGGAGAAAGGTAAAAGAACTGAACATATATATATATATATATATATATATATATATATAGTGTCACATCTTAAAATAACATTCTGAATTTATCTTAAATTAGAAAAATTATCAATCATCCACAATCTAAGCCTAGAATCCAAGACATAAAATTTGAGGAAATTAAAAATATTAATTTTTCGTTCACATATATAAAACTTATACAATTTATGATCATTCAATACTTCATAGTCAACTCAAAATTTATTAACAAACACTTATAAACTTACAAGAACAAGAATTACCATGATCATAAAAATAACCATTTATCATAAATTTATATTAATATAAAACTCCATACTTAACATTTCAAACTTTTAAAATATGAGAGATCCTTTAATCTTTACAAGATACATCAATTTATTTTTTAAAAATAATATTATAAGTAAAATATACTTTTATAATAACATCATGTCAACCCATCAAAAACTTACCAAGATCTTCTAGCATTCCATTGCCTCAACCCAAACCTAATATTAGGGTAAGTACCAAGCTAAACTGAAAATTTTATATAGCAGTAGAGTAATATATAAAACTTAGCAAGTGTCTAACATATTCAGAGACATCCGATCATGGATACAAGAATCATATATATCATTTCATTAGATGCATACTTAACAAAGAAACAAATAATATATAAGATATTTAATATTAATATGCAAGTTATTAGCTCAAGAATAGAGTCATATTTAATATTTCATTTATATCTAAAGAGTATATAGAAGCACATAAACATGTATTTTAGAAAAATATGTTAAAAAAGCATAGAGAGTGAAGTGGAATCATATTATAGTATGAATATTAATCTCTAGAGTTCTATCCCCAATGAAGTCATTGGGGACGACAAGAGTATCAAAGGTTCTACACAACTTTTTTTTTTTTTTTCTAATAAAGGTTTATATTATTTCACAAACATTCTGTTTATATTATTTCAAAGTATAAAAAAAACATTCTGATCAAAAATATACATGTGTACATATGAAGTAATATCAAGTGAAATAACATATACATAATTTATTCAAAGTAATAAACATCAATGATAAGAAATATATGACTCATTTAAGGGAGGAATTTTAGTTGAAATCAAATTTAAACAGATAAAACAAGAATTGATAAATTTGAAAATAATGTGTTATGGTAGAATTTGTAAGGTATATTTTAGAAAAATATGTTAAAGAAGCATAGGGAGTAAAATGAAATCATAATATAATATAATATGATCATATTATAGTATGAACATTAGCCTCTGCTTGGGAGCTTTATCCACTCGTGCCTCTGAATGAGGTCATTAGGGTCAACAAGAGTATCATAAGCTCTATACATAACATTTTTTTAGTAAAGTGATCTACATTAGAGTATAAAAAAAAATAAAAGAAGAAAGTTCAAATATATAGGAAGCACATATCAAACAATAAAAATATATATGTGTACATATAAAATAATATCAAGTGGCATAACATATGCATAATTTATTCAAAGTAATAAGAATCAGCATTTTGAAATATAAGAGTTTAAAGCAGCAATATATATGACTCCTTTGAGAGAGAAATTTTAGTTGAAATAAAATTTAAAAAATATAGAAGTAAGAATTGATAAATTTGGAAATAAATGTGTTTTGGTAGAATTTGTAAGGTATATTGTAGTAAATATTTGGATAAGAAATTGTATTCTAATTCATTCAAATTAGATATTGTTAAAAAAATATACGAGTATACTTTTAGAAGAAATAAACTTTGTACAAATTAGAGTTATATACAAAAAATTGCATGTAATTTAATACATAGAGATTAGAACATATTATCTCCATTAAGTAGAATTCAAGAGATTAAAATAAATAAATATTTATATAATCATTTATACTTCAAATCAGTCAAATAAAATATTAGAAAATATATTTAAGAGTTTAATTTCTAATAAAAATGATTTTGCTCGAATCTAAATTTTATACAAAATATTATAATTGAAACAATCTAAATAGACTAGGTCGCTTTGTCTCTATTTGACAGAATTAAAAGGATCAATTAAAATAAATGTTTGGGCAAATATTTTTATATCAAATCATTCAAGTAAGATAAAAAAAAAAATCTAAGAGTACAGTTTTAAAGGAAATAGGCTTTGCATAAATCAGAAGTTTACACAAAACATTATAGTTAAAACAAGATAGATAGATAAGAAGTCCTATAAATTTCAGATTAATAAGTTTTATAGCCCAATTGAGGTTAATGTTAGTAGAAAGGGTAATACTTTACAAATTACTCATAAACAAAAATGAATCAGATGTCAAAATCACTATAGAATAGCATAGAATACTTCTCCTTCAATTCCTCTTCTCTTCTTTAGTCCAATATATATTACAATAAGTTTTTAATTTGATAATTTTTTTCATTTTTTTCTTTTATAATTATCTAGATTTAGCTAATAGAAAGAAAACATGACAATGTAACAAACATACAACAAAAAATATCATAGATATAAAAAATATAGCAAATATGGATAACATACTCCCTAGGTTAGCTATTTACTTTCTTGTTTTCTTTACTAACTTAATATAAATATTTCACAAATCATATTCAAATTCTAGGATTCACAATTAGGTCCATATCATTTTATATTAAAATAATTAAATATATATTATAAATAATTTAACAATAAAAGATATTACAACCTATTCTGGACTTGCATCAATATTAATTTGAAAGATACCACCCATTCTTCTTGTTGTGGTCATAGTTATTTGTCTTGCCACATCCATCTATGTCAGCTTGTGACAGGTGACTGAGGCTCTTCCAGCTCTTGAATCATCGCTGAGTTGTGAGACACTGAGATGAAGACGCCATGCAAGTCACATGTATCAGATGGATCATCGAATAGCTGCACCTACACCAGAGGAAACCTCCCTCGGTTGTTGTTCCCCTCACTGCCATTTCTTGCAGACATCCATCTCCACAGGGAACTGTTGCTTCATAGAGAATGTGCACCTCTGCACATGTTCTTGTCCCATCGATTCAGTGTCAAGAAGCTAATGACCTTCGACTAGGAGCCTCAAACATAGGCTTCTCTTTGCTAAAGAATCTTGGTATATCCTGCAGAATTGGGTGAAGAGGACTTGTGAGAGCTTCTGCAGTCGATGTGATTGGCTTCACTTTGCCTCAGAACTGAAAGAGAGAGACATCAATCATTGCCTTCAGTACAGAGAAACATAATGTAGCTGATGACCAACAATCCAATGAGAATAAAAAGAAGGCATATGTCAATGATATAAATAATATATCATGTGTTATGTGGGCTTATATCTCAAATAAAAGCTTAAGCTTTTGGGATATATAATAATCAATCATCTAATTCAAAAAATTTTCGAGAATAGAAATTAAACTTCTTAGTTATGTTTGATGAATAATAAAAAGAGATAAACTCAATGCAAATAAAATAGACTTCCATAAAAGATCTCGAAAGGATTAATACAGGCAAAATATTACTTGCATAATTAGAGTGGTCATTTTCATACATAATAAAAACTAAAATTAAGAGAATTATTTGACTAAAATCCTAAAGTTTTATAAGAGAAAACTTCACAAAAAAAAAATTCCCATATCAATAAGACAAGACTCAATTTTCTTTTTTTTCCGAAAGAAAGAAAAATATATATTCAAGATCTGAATCAAAATAAGTCAGAGGCACTCTTCAGTCAAAATTGGTATGACCAATTAAATGCATAAGTTTGAATTCGTAGCCACCACGTGGGCTGCTGCTACTTGGAAAAGCATTAAGGTTACGTCCCACCTCGTCTCCACTCATGCAGTCTCCTCCCATGGCGTGCTTCAATTCTAATGATTCACGCTAATCTTTCCCTCGATACAATGAAATCTATCCGAGATTACTACGTCTCTCTCTCTCTCTTCGTGCTATCATAACCTGGGCACCGATTGACCCAACCATCTCCTCCTCGTCTACCTCTCGTCGACCTCTGAGTGCTTCCAGGTCACCTTCTCTCTCTCTCTCTCTCAGTTCATTCCGAGTCATCCGAGTTATCATTCTCTTCGATCTTAACATGGACGTCAGGCATATGATTTGGGTTCCTCGCTTACATACTCCTTTTGCGATCGTTCCTATGATTCTTTTGATTTATGAACGTTTCAGTTGTTCTGTTGCCTCTGCAATTTTTCTCTTTCTAACACTTGTCTGCCGCGAATGACGATTTCTGCTGCTTCGTTTTGCTTGTTTATGATAGATTTTGGTTTTTCTTTCTTCTTCCTTGATTTATTTTTCCTGCTTTTTTGGAGGTTGCGAAGTCTCTGTCTGTGGTCAAAGCTTTACCTTTTGGGCATTATTGTTTGTATTTTATAAGCATTATTCTCTGTCCTACACTGCAACTTGTTCTTGGCTACATTAGTAGAATGTGCAGCTCATAATTGTCACTGCATCAATTCAAATCTAAGCCTTTATCATAGTCAAGAAATCTAGTATGAACCACTGTTACGAGTATGGAGATATCAAATAGCAATTCCAAATCATTTGATTCCGACAACTGGTATCTGAGGTTGCATCCATGCGCACCATGTGAAACCATTACATACAGCTAGTGTGCCATTAACAGGCAGCGAAGGGATGCCGCACGACTGAGAGGGTGAGGCCGCAGCTAATTAAGCACCCATCACCGCAGAATTCGTCATCGCAGAGGAGGAAGAAGATGGGGTTTTGGTCGTTGCTCCTGGTGGCATCCACACCAGTGGTGCAGGTCCTTCTCATAGGCCTCCTGGGGGCATACCTTGCATCTGGTTACAGCAATGTTCTTCTTCCCGGTGCTCGAAGGGACATGAACAAGGTGAATCGATCACACCGAACTCAAATCAAGTGCTTTACATCTTTGTCACATTCATCGTGGACCTGAACCGTGAGCTTCCGTTCCAACAGGTTGTGTTCACTGTCTTCACCCCAGCTCTCATGTTTGCTAGTCTAGCAAAGACCGTCACCTTCCAAGAAATCATATCTTGGTATGTCTCAACTGTTTCTTGCCATTCTATAGAATCCTTGCACTGGTCTGACATGATCTTCTGTCTTCTCAAGGTGGTTTATGCCTGTCAATATCGGGATCACATTCCTAATTGGGGGAATTCTCGGATGGATAGTAGTAAAAATCTTAAGACCACCAAATCATATTGAGGGCCTCGTAATAGCTGCTTGTTCAGCTGGTAATGACTCGTATCTTCGTTTCATGTGTATTAATCTTTGGTGACGAAAACGTATACTGCAGGTAACCTGGGCAATCTGCTCCTGATAATTATCCCGGCGATCTGCGAAGAAGATGGCAATCCCTTTGGGGACTACAAGATCTGCAGCGCCCGTGGAATCTCCTATGTTTCTTTCTCCATGGCGGTAAAGTCTTTTGGATTCAGCGTTATGCTCATCGGTTTCTGTATCAGTCACGGTGATGTGTTGTGTTCATGCAGCTTGGAGCATTCTACATTTGGACTCATTCCTACAGTCTCATGAGGAACGCTGGCAAAATGTACCATGCAACCCGAACAGCTAGTCTTGGAGTCACAGGAGCCAATGAAGGTGGTCATGGAGTCTCTGTGGATCAGGAGAGTGTGCTTTCACCACCAGTGAAAGCAGTGCAAGGAATGGCACAACACCAAATTGTAAGTTGCAATCATAATTCTAAGGAATCAGAGGTATAATTAGGGACTCTGTTCGTATCTGATCACTTCTAATAAATCCAATCTTGCTAGAATCAAATAACAACACTGGAAATTTGAAGAACATGCATAAGAATCAGAATTTCTAAGCTAAGATATGTGATGCAGGAAATCCCACTTCTATCCGGTGGAAACCTACAAGACAAAAAGGTGAACTTGTGGGATAAAATCAAGGAAACTCTCCACAAAATTGTCGAGGAATTGTTGGCTCCACCGACTGTTGCTGCGGTGTGTCCTCGTCGATAACTTTTCTCATACTCTAAGAGATCGCATTCCTTGTATCTCATATTTCTTGACTTGTTTCAGATTGTAGGATTCGTTGTCGGTGCAGTGCCATGGCTGAAGACTCTGTTTATAGGCTCAAGTGCACCACTGAAAGTTGTTCAAGACTCGATGAAGCTATTAGGGTGATCTAATCTTTGGTGTCCTCTACTAATCGAATGAATCCATTCTATCAATGGAAGTAGTAAGCAGTAACACACTCTCATTTGATCGATGCAGTGATGGCACAGTGCCCTGCATCACCCTCATTCTCGGTGGAAACCTGACGCAGGGTAAAAGATTGAGCTTCTGCTTCTCCACGCTCATGAATCACTCACCTCAAAGCTTCTGAAACGTGCGCAGGGCTACGCAAGTCCGTCGTCAGGCCTGTGTTGATCGTCGCAATAGTCTGCGTTCGCTACGTGATCCTCCCCGCGTTCGGGATCGCCTTGGTGAAAGCAGCCTATGGATTAGGCTTCGTGCCACACGATCCACTGTATCGATATGTGCTGATGGTGCAGTTCGGTCTCCCTCCCGCCATGAGCATAGGTAAGAAAGCTCCGTCCCTGTTCTCCTCGACAAGTTTTGTCGAACGCAAAGGGTTTCAGGGCGATGAACACGATTGTGCAGGCACGATGGCTCAGCTGTTCGACGTTGCCCAAGAGGAGTGCTCTGTCATCTTCCTGTGGACTTACTTGATCGCGGCTGTTTCTCTTACAGTGTGGTCGACAGTCTTCATGTGGATCTTGTCTTAGAATTCTCATCAGAATTATTGTGTGTTATATATACAGTGCCATTCTTTTCTTGCAAGTAATGCAGATGAAGGTCATCAATGTAAGATTTTTGTGCTGTCAAAAAGAACTCTGATCCCCATATGATCGATCATTCAAGAAATTTAAATACAAAAATAGTTGACACAAGATTGGTTTGACAATCGCATCATTATTTACCTATGTGTATGGAGATCGTGACTGCAATGAATAGTAGAATAGAGTATATGATAGCTCTTCCTGCTCCCAAATGCTGCAGCTGACTGACTCTGCAACTCCAGTCATTTTGGAAGCCACTACTACTAAATGATCAAAGTCACAGGTCACATGACATTTGTTCCCAACTCCGACAAGAACAAGACAGCTCCAACTCAGTGTCCTCTTCCCACCATGTGGCTCTCTGCATCAACAGAACTAATATATCTGATCTAATCAACAAGTTGATATCTGGATGCCCAGCCGTGATTATGTTATGAGTCAACCATTATGAAGATGAAAGATCAGCTTCTCTCTCTCTGCTTCTCAAGTTCTTCTCAGCTCATTCTGAGTCACAAATGGCAAACTCTGTCTGTTTGCTGCACTGCATCAGTATTATAACACTGTCTTGGTCAAAAAAATCCAAATGAGATGCCAAAGATCGTAACTCACTTGCGGCCAATAATTGTTATCTGAGTTGCGGACCATGTGAAACCATTGCAGCTATTAGAAATCGACTCTGATGGTCTGTACTTAACAGGGGAGAGATGTGCAACTAGGCATACACCACCACTACATGCTTAGCAGTAGCAGAGGAGGAAGAAGATGGGGTTTTGGTCACTGTTCCCGGTGGCATCCACACCAATCGTGCAGGTGCTTCTCATAGGCCTGCTGGGGGCGTACCTCGCGTCAGGTTACAGCAATCTTCTTCCCCACAGTGCTCGACGAGACATGAACAAGGTGAACTGCTCGTGCTGCAATCAAATCCCACTGCTCTGCATCTCTCTCTCACATTCACAGTGACCTGAACCATGAGCTCACAATTCAACAGGTGGTGTTCACTGTCTTCACCCCATCTCTAATGTTTGCTAGTCTAGCGAAGACCGTCACCTTGAAAGAAATCATATCTTGGTAGGTCTCAGCTGTTCCTTACAGTTCATACTTGATTTAGCTTGGCAATCAACTGAACACGCACAATTCCTGTCTTCTCGAGGTGGTTTATGCCTGTCAATCTCGGGATCACGTTCCTGATTGGGGGAATCCTTGGCTGGATAGTAGTGAGAATCCTAAGGCCTCCGCGGCATCTCGAAGGCCTCGTAATAGCTACGTGCTCTGCTGGTAATGTCGTGTTCTGTTTGATGTCATGTTCCATCAAAGCAATTCCTTTTGATCTGGTCTCCTATACCGTCAGGTAACATGGGCAATCTGCTGTGGATAATCATCCCGGCGATCTGCGAACAGGACGGCAACCCCTTTGGGAACGACAAGGTGTCCGGTGCCCGCGGACTCGCCTCTTTCTCCATGGCGGTAGAGCCACAAATATCTTCTGTTTCAGCTTTAAATGCAGTATTGGTCGAAGCAAGTGATGTGTTCTGTTCATGCAGATTGGAGGAATCTACATTTGGACACATTCCTACAGTCTCATGAGGAATGCAAGCAAAATATACCATGCAAGCCATATATCTTGCCATGCAGGTGTCATAGAGAGACATGGGAATGACCAGAGAGTCTCTACAGATCAGGAGAATATGCTTTCACTTCCAGTGGAAGTAATGGAAGAAATGGCAGACAACCAAATTGTAAGCTGAAATCACAGTGTCTATGGAGATAGAATAGGAACCTCAATTTTTCTATGAATCCAACATTGGAAATTGAGAGAATATGAACAAAAATAGCTTACTTGGTATCATGATGCAGGATATCCCATTACTACCCAATGGAAGCCTCCATGGCGAGAAGGTGAACTCCTGGGATAAGATGAAAGAGACTCTCCACAGTATTGTTGAAGAGTTGTTGGCTCCACCCACTGTTGCCTCAGTGTGTTCTCATCGATTTCTTCTTCTCATACTTATCACGTATAATTAGAATGAGCCTATGCATCTTACATGCTACTTTGTTTCAGATAATGGGAGTCATCGTTGGTGCAACACCATGGCTGAAGTCTCTGTTTGCAGGCTCAAGTGCACCACTGAGAGTAGTCGAAGACACCGTGAAGTTATTAGGGTGATTCATTTTTTGCTGTCTGCTACTCATTGAACAGATCATCAACATGCGTGGAGGTCATTAACTCGTATATTCGACTTGCTTGATGCAGTGATGGCACGGTGCCCTGCATCACCCTCGTTCTTGGTGGAAACTTGACACAGGGTAAAGTTGAGCTCAGCTGTGTTTGATCGATCGATGCAGTGATGACTCGAAAACTACATGCATGCGCAGGTTTACGCAGGTCGGTCGTCAGCAATGCGGTGATCGTCGCGATTGTTTGCGTTCGCTACCTCGTCCTTCCTGTGATTGGGATCGCAGTGGTGAGAGCGGCTTACGGGTTGGGATTGGTGCCATATGATCCACTGTATCGGTATGTCTTGATGATACAGTTCGGTGTCCCACCTGCCATGAATATAGGTATAGAGAGAGAGAGAGAGAGACTGGTTTTACGAAGCCTTATTGCTTGTATTTATTGTGTCTGGTAAATTGAATGCTATTGCAGGAACGATGGCTCAGTTGTTTGACGTTGGTCAAGAGGAGTGCTCTGTCATCTTCCTGTGGACATATGTGGTCGCCACGGTGGCGGTCACAGTCTGGTCAACAGTGTTCATGTGGATCTTATCGTAGAATTACCGTCAGAAGCATCACAAGCTATATATGAGCGGCACGGAGAAGATGGTTTTATGGGTCTCATTCTTTGTTTGCAATCGTTGCAGATTAAGATGATGTCAATTAGAAGAAGAAAAGGAGCAATCATTGTGAAGTGAACCTCAAAATGAAAGCTTTTGCAGTGTAGGCAAGAGGATAGTATTGTGCATAAAAGCTTCATCCATTTGATACACATGATATGGATTTGAGATATTTTCCCAAATGGTCAAAATTCACTTTATGACCATTTTACAGTCACTTTCTTACTCATTTAAATGATATAATACTTTGATTTAATCTTATATCAAAAATAAATAAAGGCTTAAATTGATTTATAAAAGTCCGATACTATTACAAACTTCAACATATACATATATGATTTATGCATTTTGATAAATCGTAACTTCGGTTTAAACATTTTGATCGAAAAAGAAATAACAAATCATCCTATCCGTGATAGGCAAATTAAGAAAGAAGTCGCTACCAAAAGTCATCCTGAAATAAAATTTAAATGTAAAACATGAATATTTTGCGTGGCAGCAACAGATCATATTTTTCAAAGAAAACAGGTTATTATACTTTCATAGATCTCAAGAATGACCTGTGCAGGAACTCAATTCTAAACTTTCACAAGTCTCAAAGAAAACCAGCTTTTTCACAAAAACAGATTTTCTTGAAATAATTACTATAAGCTAGTAAGAACTATAATCAGTTTTCCTTGAAATAAGAACTCAAATAAGAACAATCTTTTTCACTAAATACTAAATCATGACAACCATGGCAAGTAACAACACACTGTTGTTTGAACATGAAAGCTTTGAGTGTCTTCTCCCCTCTTGCTAAATAAGCAAAGCAGCACCTAACTTTTTGTTGAGTTGGCAGCACCTTGCAAGTGTGCCACCATCAAGAAAAATGTCCCTCCCAACTTGTATCAGCATTGACAATTCACATTCTGCACATCATTCTATTTAGCAACAATCCCACCATGATAACAAAATGATTAGGGGCACTTTCGATAAGCACACCCGGGATACATAATGCTAGATAAACACACCCTGGATACATAATTAAAAGAGTTTACAAGGTAAAGGAGCATACTGAGCTGCCTGATAGCTGATAAGACACCATTTTAGCAGACTCACTGTCCTCAAGTCATTGTTGCCAAAAAAAATAGGGCAACTGTTTCTCATAGAAAGCTTGTTGCGCTAAGAGCTTAATGAGCAACAAGGCCCAAAAAGATCAGCACAGAAGAAAAAAAAAAAAAAAACTTGTTCATCCATATGATACAAGACAGTTACATATACACAATAAAACAGAAGAAAAAATTATGTAACAAAAAGCCAAGATCATAGGACTCTAAGCTGCGCAAGGAAGGCAGCACACAAGTCGAGAAAGAGGAGCTGTGACCCACTGACCCTCTGCAAGTCAAGGAGATATTTCTCTTCCCTGGTCTTGTAAAGCTGCGATACAATGAAGCGAAAGAAGCATTATCCACATTATCTTATAAGAACCATTTAACAGTTACAAGAAAGAAAATATTATATAAATTTATAAGCATAAATACTTTAGCAAGTTAATTATAATAAAATGTATTCCTCCAACAGCTGCAGTAGCCAATCAAAAGTGAGAGGGAACAAAAGTGGCATTGATAATATCTCATGTTACTTTGCATTGCTAATTTCATGATATCTTCAAGCATTTACTGTCTCATTGGCAGCAGCTTGTTTCTCATCCTTGTGAACATCAAGTATTCGCAGGCTCATTTGGAGCATATTTCCCCAAACTACTGCATAAAAACCAAGTAAATTCATCCATATTTATGTTTGCAACCCTCTACAGGACTTGTAGACATCTGTGCATGTTTGTAATTGTTAATTTGTTTATACTTCATCGAGCCATAATTTAAGGATTTTAAGATTTAAATTGTCATCAACTGCACCAATCTCTTGTAGTGGGTTCCTTTGACGTAACTCTTGGTGCTAAGCTTGGAAAATATCAAACTCTTCATAGGTGTTTCACTTTTCATAATTTGTGAGAGCATGTAGTTCACTGTAAACGTTGAGCCTCACAATCCTTTAAGTTCATTATACACTAAAAGAATTGATGAATTAGCAAGGGAAAAAAAGATAACCACCAAAAATAGTTTTACTTATTGGCATTAATGTGAACTGATTTGCAGGTATGTTTTGGTTGTTTGACATATACAGCATGCCAAAGTATTTGCTTGTGAGAATAATTTTGTGGTTTTGCCTCAAAAGGACTTTGTATCTTGTTTTATTTTAATACAACTTATCCTTAACTTGTTGGATCCTAACACATCCCTAGCATGTGATAGACACTAACGGGAAAAAAGCCAAGCCAAAGTGTCACATGCAGTCTAGATATTCTTTGTCATGCTCGCTTGGCATAGCAGAGAGAGCAAATAAATCCATGAATGTCATAGAACTTCTAAAAGTTCGATAGTTAGCATGTTAAAGGATAAAAGTTTGATATCACCAATGAAGTTAAAAAGTGAATCATGGATGAACTTAATAGTGACTCGTAATGTATATATACTATATAGCATATTGCACAACACTCATTGAAAGTATAAACAGGTTAACCAAGAGCATAAATACACAAAAAGAAACATTTGCCAAAACATAGGTACATGTGCTACTCTATTGAACTTAAGTATGAGAAAAGAGGCACCTGAATTTCAAACTTGACTATATTGTCACTTTCAACAATGGCAGATTCGTCGCTGAAGCTATGGTTAGCATGCGGAGAATTATTGAGCATGCTTTCAGCATGATCAGAAAAGCCAGGTATATAACAGCATTTCATGTTATAGTGTCCGATCCTTTTCCATCTAACATTTAGTTCTTGTAATGCTTTAAGGACCTCCGTCATAATTTCACGAGGATGAGCCCGAGACTTGCAGTCAAATAAATATTTGTCAGGAAGAGGACTAATTTATCTGTAGTTAAAGATAGACAAGAAAAAAAAAATTGTAATGACCTGAAGTCCAAGAGCCCATTTTCTTTCAACAGGTAATTGTGATCTCAGACCAATTCCCTGTGGGTCCATATATCCTGGTAGGCGATGTGCAAATTCTGAATTTTCACTTGAACTCATAGGTGGCACACCATAATCCTAAAAGAACTATGAATTTCACATTACACATACTTACATGGTAAAGAAGCAAGAAATCCAATTAACATAACAGAAAATTTAGCTAGATGGAGATTGCAAGAACTACGTTTTAAAGATGCTGAAAGGTATCACACGCACCATAGTTTCTTGAAAATCACCGCCAAGGTAGCCGCTCATAGCACGGAAACGATTGTCCAGTAGTAAGTAATACGAAACAGTTGCCTATTCATAAACACTTTCAGAATAAGTTAAATAAAGTGACAAGTCAAAGAAAATTCTAATCACATGAAATACCTCATTTGAAATTCTGCTATGAAGAGATTCAACCAATTGGTTCTTGTCAAAACCCATTTTAATCACCTCCTGAATAATATCATCATCAATCTGCAAGAATTGACAAATTAGGAGACATATATTTGGCTTTTTCATGGCAGCTACTAAAGATCAACCTCAGAACTGTGACATTTCAAAGTTATGAGAATCATCATACTACTTCAAAGAATCAGAACTGGCATGCACGTTTAAAACAACATAAATAAGGTAAACAACTATATGAGTGAAAAACTAGCACAAATCGAATGCATAAGTACATTCATCTAATTCATATACAGAACAATGCAACAGCAGCAAATAATGATGAAAGAGAGCATAGATATACATTACCTGCCATGGCCTTGATCCTGAAGTTCTATGATTTTCACAACACAAGAACTGAATGAAAACTAGCTTTGCAATGAATTAGACACATGTTAGAAACCATGCATTACAAAGCATCTTATAGATCATCACAATTAAATATTATGAAAAAAGGCTAGTTTTTATCTAAATTCTTTTTAAAAATGATTATCATAATTTTCTACTCAGCACTTGTACTTGACGAAATCCATGAAACATCTAGTATTAGCCAATAACAGAAGCATTTATAGACAAATCACCATCCGCTAAAGCAATATTAGTCATTGCGTCTAATAATAGTGTACGACTTAATTAACAATCCCAGAAGGTACTTGCCTTCCTAGCTTGCTGCATTGTATCAGGTGGAGGCACAGCCAAATACCGAGGTAGACGCATTTGGAACCATGGATGTTCACGAATCTCACGAATGGTTATTCGCTTCATAGGATCAACAACAAGCATTCTGGGAATCAAATCCCTTGCAAGAGCTGACAAATGGCTAGGAAGGGTGTATATCCCGCTCTAAAGATTTTGATAAGAAAACACAATTTGAGTGCTGTGTTGGTTTATAAAGCTGGAGTGACAGTTAAATATAATATGTACAAGATTTCTTGCCTTTATTTTCTTAAACAAATTAGGTATGTTCTCATCATCAAAGGGAAGGGTTCCACAGAGAAGAGCATAAAGAATAACACCACAACTCCATACATCAACCTCAGGTCCAGCATATAATTTTCCAGAAATTACCTATACAAATGAAGATAAACACATAATAGAAGTCAAAAGATGCAAATGGAATACCAAATTTAGTCCAGTGGAATATCTACAAACCTCAGGGGCAGCATAGTTTGGGCTCCCACAGCTAGTCTTCAGAAAATGACCATCACGCATGACATTACTTAGGCCAAAGTCGGCGATTTTAACATTGCATTTCGAATCTAAGAGCAAGTTCTCTGGTTTCAAATCCCGATGAGCTACCATGTTTCTATGACAGTATTCAACACCAGATATGATCTGTTTTGAGGAAAGCATAGATATTTTGTCAAACATAAGGGGGAAAAAAAGTAGTCCTACATCTTTTAAATCTTAGGACCATGGTTTTCAATAACAATGATAGGTACCATGCTGCCGAGGATTTATGGTCAGACAAGGAACCAGTAGCCTTTTTTTTATTTTTTCTATTTAGTGATACGAAGAGGTATAGGTCTGTGTAACGCTAGCAACACTAGTCT